TGTTTTAAAGAGTACTAGGAGAGAACCGTGCGTATGCGCAGATCTTGTTTTAATTAATATATTAAATATTTTGTATTGAATTTTGTGTTTACTATTAATGTATTTTTGTTTAAAATATTTTTATTTTCTTTAATTCCTTCTTGATGATACATTATTTTGTAATCTTTTCTACACAAGTTGTGTCAAATAGTCTAATTTTTTCTTCGATCTTCATATTTTTTTTATTTTTATAAATCTTACTAATATAATACTTTTTAATTTTCTAGTTTACCATTTATAATTTTTTGGTTATATATATTTTATTGATTCCATCTTTTATTATTATTTTTAATAACTTTTATCTTTTTAATTGTTTATTAAATATGCTTTGTGTTTTATAATTTTATTAGTTGAATTTTTATATAAAATTATTTGAAACTTTTTAACTTATTCAGTCTCATAATTTTTTCCCTTGCATTAAAATTTAATTATATTTTTAGTTTGTAAATAAAGTTTAAAACATTTGAAAATAAAATAGAATTGTGCATTTAAAAAATCTTGTATTATATAATATTTCTAAGTTTTATATATTTAAATTAAATTTAAATTTCAATCTAATATAAATATAAATTAATATTTATTTATGTTTTTAATGTGTTGTAATATGTTTGTTTTAAATATGATTAACTATTTATTTTATTAATATTTAGCAAAGACATATGGCGTTTTCAGTACTGGCGTATCGCTCAACTGGAGAGAGTTAACCAAATTTTATATATAAGATTAATTGTTTTATTAGCTTTTTGTTCAAACAGTTATCAATACTCTATAAGGTTTAATTTCTATTTAATATTCTTTTTTTATTAAAAGACCTTCATATAAAAAAAAAATTTTGGTTTCTCTCTTCTCTCTTTCAAATCTTTCAGATAAAGTGGAATTTTTTCCACTCATACTTCTGATCATTTGATCGGAGTTTTTTTTTTCCATATTCTAAGAGTTTTATGTAGAAGCGTTTAAACCGAACACATACATTTGCCCGGTTTAGCGATGAATATGACTCGGTATGATCTGAAAACAGACGCAGAGATCGGGGAAGAGATCACAGATGGAAATTAACCACTTATCACCGTTCAAATGCCCTTCCAATTCATCTCCCCAAGCTTTTTCTCTCTAAAACGTTTTCTCTCTCTCCTCTGTAATTTCTTTATTTACCAACAGTTACAAACTGTTGTAAACAGACACCTTATTTTCTCTGCAATGTCTCATATATATATATACTTAATGAAGAGACATTATCTGAAGAGTCACAACTCTTTATTTAGTTATAAGAACCAATTTCTCATAACAGCTGGTTTAATCAAAACCGGTTTGGTATGCTGCCATATCATGGGTGCAAACCGATCATAAACTAATATCTCCCACTCGCACATGATAGGGAGCATAACAAGCATTGAAGAAGTATTAGAGATTAAGGTTGAGAATCGTAAATCGGAAATCATACAGCAAATGAACTGTGCGACCCTTGCGAATACACCTGCATTTGGGAGCCAAACTATGCACCTGTTATGGATACATACAAGCTACAACCCTAAAAAAAATGAATTTCAGCATGTCTTGCTGTTCCCCAAACTCATTTTTCTTTTATATCAGTCATAACATATCTTATCCCCAAAGCATGCGTTAGACCTTTTCTGACATCAAGTGTTCACTATATACAAACTCCAAGTGGCTGACCAGCAAACACATATGTCAATATAAAAAGCAAATTCTCATGTCTATCGGATCTGAACTAACTGCTTTCCTAGCATGTCCCTTAAGGCTAATTATTCCATCACCGTCCAAAAAACATACTAAAGTAGCAATCATTAGTTCATCCCTTCAAAACATAGCCGAATGTTCAAGGGTAACCTTGTAACCATAAATATAATTATAGGAACTCACATTGCAGGAGATAGGAATTATAAAAAAAAATCACTTGCTTCCTATATAGTCGTATTAACACATGTGGTATGACTCACATGCTATAGCGGTTTACTCTTCCTTTGAGAGTATAGTCCATTGGATAAACCAAACATTGCTATATGGATCAAGCTACTACCAGCTCGCTTTCTAGCACCTGATTATGTACTTATCCAGCTATGCCAAGTATTCATGATTCTGGGACAATCATGATCGATATTTTAAAAGAAATATCTCATCTTAATTTCTTATTAAGGCGACATTGATAAGTTTTATAAGGCAAGCTCCCACTAGTGCCAAACTCATCACGTCTCATCTTAGCCTTTCACAAAGAAATCTAAGGTGACTGTTCCTGTGAGTGAACCAATCTCTAACTTGGGGACACTTCTCAAAATTTATATGTAAGTATGCAAACTAAAAAAAAGACCATTGTAAAATGTTTGAAATATCCTTAAATATTTATTAGATATCAAAAACAAATACAATGTCAAATGGCAAAGCTCCATGAGTACATACATCAAACTCTACGCAAACCTAAAGCTCGAACATGTGCGAGAAACACATCTCTAGGAATGGGCTTAGTAAATGGATCAACGACCATCCGATGCATAGATATGTACTTAAGGACCACTTCTTTCTTTGCCACAATGTCTCTAACAAAATTTTTCTTAATTTCAATGTGCTTTGTCCTCCCATGATACTTGGGATCTTTCATGTAAGCGATACAAGCTTGACTATCACAATGGATAGTCACAGGAAACGAAGCCTCTGTTGTGACTTGTAAGCTCTCTAAGATCCTCCTTAGCCATACATCCTCTTGAACTGATGCTGAACATGCAATAAACTCAGCTTCCATCGTGGATAAAGCTGTACAAGATTGCTTTTTGCTACTCCAAGTAATAGCATCATCACTGAGTAAGAAAGCATATCCTGAAGTCGACCTACGCTCATCCAGATCGCCAGCCCAATCGGCATCTGTATAACCCGTCAAGCATAAATCACTTCCTTGATAATATAAGGAATAGTCCATTGTCCCCTTCAAGTATCTGAGGATCCTCTTCACTGCCATCCAATGTTTCTTCCCGGGATTTGACTGGTAACGACTTACCAAGCCAACCGCATAATAAATATCCGGCCGGGTTCACATTATGGCATACATCAAACAGCCTATAGCACTAGAGTATGTGACTCTTTCCATCTCTCTTTTCTCACCATTGGTCTTAGGGCACATATTACGGCTAAGGCCTTCACCTTTTGCGATTGGGGTTTCAATGGGATTACAGTTAAGCATCTTAAATCTTTCAAGGATTGTTCGAATGTAAGACTCTTGTGAAAGAGCTAGTAATTTCCTTGAACGGTCTCGGTGTATCTTAACACCAAGTATGTAATCAGCTTCTCCCATATCCTTCATCTCGAAATGAGATGATAACCATTGTTTAACGGTTAGTAGAAACTCCATATCATTTCCAGCCAATAAGATGTCGTCAACATAAAGAGATAGAATTACAAAGGATTTTCCAGTGCTCTTGACGTAGACACAATGGTCTTCACTAATCATCGTAAACTCATAAGATGTTATAGCTTGATGAAATCGAAGATACCATTGCCTAGAAGATTGTTTTAGGCCATATATTGAACGTCGGAGCTTACAAACTTTGTGCTCCTAGCCTTTTACAACAAACCCAGCAGGTTGTTGCATGTAAATATCTTCTTCTAGTTCCCCATTAAGAAACGTAGTTTTAACGTCCATCTGATGTAATTTTAAGTCTAGTCCAGCAACTATAGCTAGAATAAGGCGAATTGAGGCAAACCTCACCACAGGTGAAAATGTTTCCTCATAGTCTATACCCTCTTGTTGGGTATATCCTTTTGCTACCAAACAAGCCTTGTAACTATCTATGGATCCATCCGCTTTACGTTTGATCTTGAAAACTCATTTGTTTCCGATCGCTCGACGTTCTGGCGGAAGATCAACCAAGTCCCAGACATGGTTAACTTTCATAGATTCTAATTCTTCTCCTATTGCACCATCCCATTCAGCAGAATTTGGGCAAGAGAGAGCCTCTTGGACTGATCTAGGCTCTAGATTGTCATGTAAAGCAACCATAAAAGCTTTTCCTTCAATTTCAAAACACGTCGAGGAAATTTTCCACAGTTACTTCTACGTAACTCAGACTCTTGAGGTTCCTCCCTAGAGGAATCACCAACCAATGTCTCTCTCCCACTAAGTTGTGAAAGTTCATGTGAACTTTCACCAACTTCCATAAATTTGTTAGTAGAAGGAACACTAGTTGTCTCAACTATCTCTTCGAGATGGAGTCCCTTATCAATCTCTCCCCTTCTATGAAAAATATTTTCCAAGAATGTGACATCTCGTGATTCGATTTCTGTTACATTCTGATTGTTCGCCGATAAGGACATAGCCTTTAGAATGCTCAGAGTATCTTATGAAGATACACTTATTTCCTCTAGGACCTAATTTTCCATGAGGATGAAAAATATCGCGAACAAATGCTGCAGACCCCCCAAGGTCTCAGATGCATTAGGTCAGGTTTTCTACCCGTCCATAATTCATAAGGAGTAGTAAAACAGATTTGTAGGGCACAAAGTTAAGTATATAGGCTGCAGCATCCCCCCAATATGAAATTGGAAGGTTAGCTTGCGCCATCATAGACCTAACCATTTCAACAAGAGTTCGATTTCTTCTTTCCGCTACACAATTTTGTTGTGGTGTATAAGGGGTAGTCATTTGTCTGACAATACCCTTTTCATCACACAGTATTTGAACTGTTCAGATAGATATTCACGACCTCGATCCGTTCTCAAACACTTGACCGTCCTCTCCAACTGATTCTCGACCAAAGTGATATATTGTCTAAAGCACTCTAGTGCTTCTGACTTATGTGAAATTAGGTACACATACCCGAATTGTGTGAAATCATCTATAAAAGTGATGAAATATGAAGCTTCATGTCTCGCCCTCACATTCATCGGACCACATATGTCTGAATGAACTAATTGTAATGGAAATTCAGCTCTAGTCGCTTTTCCAAATGGTTTTCTTATTGCTTTTCCAGCCAAACATGGTTCACATGTGTCAAGATCAGAGCTTTTCTAGCTCTAGTCGACTCCAATGTGACCAAGTCTAGAATGCACACATTCATTTCAACATTTTCAGAACTTGTGACAAATGAAAAAAAATTATCAACATTACTTCTAGTAGAAACATTTGTAGTACAATCAAGTACAATAAAATCATCACAAGCGTAACCAGAACCAAAGAACACAGACCCTAGAGAAATGTGCAAACACATGTCATGAAAGTTCAAACTAAATCCTAACTTAGTTAGAGCCAAAACAGAGACTAAGTCCCGACGGATTTCAGGAGCATACAAGACATCATGTAATATGAGAGTTTTTCCGTCACGCATGTGTAGCTGGCAAGTGCCGATACCCTGAACCGAAACTTTGGAATTATTTCCCACATACAACCATCTTGTACCTTTAGGCCTCCGTCGGTACTCTACAAATGCTTCTCGACTTCTAGCTACGTGGTCTGTTGCTCCTGAGTCTACAATCCACGAAGGATGGGATTCTGTAAGCATTGCATAACTAGAAACATAAGCATATTTGCAAGTAGAGTCCAAGGATAATACCTTCTTTGCCTCAGCGCATTCACGAGCAAAGTGACCCAATGAGCTACAGTGTAGCACTTCATTTTGGTCTTATCCTTCTTGCCTACATGCTTGCCACGCTTGACATTTTTCTTTGGCCTCTTAAGTTCAGACTGATAGGGAGCCTTGTGTACCATGTTACCTTTCTTGCGTTTCATTCCAGAGTTTGAACTTGCAAAGTTGGCTTTGTTAAAGGACTTAGAAGCCTATAAGCGCTCATCTTCTAACTCAAGATGACGTGATATATCTTCAAATGTTTTCACATTTTTAGTGTGCATCATCTGAACCTTCATATGGTCCCAACTTTCAGGCAACGAGTGGAGAACCGGTTGGACTTGCTGTTCATTAGACATAATCTGACCAGCATTTTTTAGCTCTCTAATCATGTTTGACATGACTCTAAGATGCTGCCTCATCGATTGATTTGGGCGCTTCTTATAATCATTAAACTTTTGATTAAGTCTCCTAAGTTTGGTAGCCGATGTGGCACCAAACTTATCTTTCAAGGCCTCCCACATGCCTTTCGCAGTTTCATACTCTTAAAACTAACACATGAGATCATCTTGCATACAACTCCACAACGTGATGCGAGCGATGCTATTCTTTCTTTTCCAGACAACATATGCCTCGTGATCTTTCTCATGTTGAGTCGTAGTACCCTGATTAGGCTCTTCCATGTGATGGAAAAGAGTCTCCTTTACCTCTTGCTCCTCGAGGCATACTAGACTTTCCGATACCAAATATCGTAATTGTCACCATCCAATTTGTTTCCTCGATTGAGCTCAGCAATGATGTTCTTACAAGCAGACGACATACCTGCTTGAACATCTAGAGATATTACTTTCTTTGCATACTCTTAATATATAACATATAATTTTGCCATGAACACAAACTAATATAAAATAACTCAATTTTTATATGAGATCGAGAGTTCACTATGTTCCCAATCATCACCTGTATCAAAAACTTTGTTATAATAAATTAATTTGTTCTATGCAAAATTTTAAGTTCTAAACTAATCAGAACTCCCACTTGATCAAAGTATTCTTTTATATATGAATTAACAAATAAAACATATATAAAAAAATTGATCCAAAACAAAAAAAAATTCGCGGATACTGTTCATCATCTTCTTCAAAGAGATTGTTAAACAGCAAAAAAAGTTTGAAACTTTCGACCCTTATATCTCTCTAAATACGTAACCAAATTATTCTTTCTATATATCAATCGAAATATAATTTCAATATCTACGCACGGAAACTAAAATCATGTAATTGTGAATTATAAACAGAGAGATATGGACGAAACAATATTTCCGGTTTTCTCACTATTTTTCTAAATTCATGCAAACTATTGTGGTTCTCAAAGTGATATTTTCCAGAATAATTCAAGCCTATATGAAGAACATTTATGCAAAGTTTCAATTCATTTCATCATATATTCACGAATTCACCATTTTCAATCATTTAAACATTAACCATTTTCTTCAGTTCATCATGAATAAGCATGATTAACACAGAGAGGTTTTATATCATGATTACTATGAACGTTTTCATTCCAGAACCTAATCCTAATGCTCTGATACCAATATAAGAGTTTTATGCAGAAGCGTTTAAACCGAACACATACCTTTGCCCTGTTTAGCGATGAATATGACTCGATCGGTATGATCTGAAAACGGACGCAGAGATCGGGGAAGAGATCACAGATGGAAATTAACCACTTATTGTTAATGTTTTGATTCAAAGATGAACTCTGTTTTAACAGAGTTTGAGAACGAAAACTAGAAACATAGTATTGAAGAAAATTATACTTTATTGATAAGAGAAAAGTGTATTACACTCGATGTGTTTTGCGGACTCGATCCGATCTACTTATACAATACGAACAGATGTGTTTCAACAGGTGTTATTTAACAGACACAACTTATACGAATAGACGTAACTATACGTTCGTGACTTTTAAGTAAATAACTAACTTATACTAATATGACTTTAGGTTATATGACTTAGATTAGATTTGATTATAGTTCAACACTCCCCCTTAATCAAATCTCGGTTTCACTCCAAGCTTCTTCCTTAGATCTTCAGACCTCGTTCCACTTAAAGCTTTAGTGAAAATGTCCGCGAGTTCATACTTCTCTCAAAAACGTTTTGAATGAAGTAAGAATCTATCCTTCCCTACCAAGCCCTTGGTGCTTGCTTTAAACCATATAAAGCCTTGTATAGCCTTAACACCTTTTCTTCTTTGCCTTCAATCACAAACCCAGGTGGTTGCGTGACATAAACTTCTTCTTTTAACTCTCCATTCAGAAAGGCTGACTTGACATCCATTTGATACAACCTCCATTTCATTTGAGCCGCATGTGCAAGGATGACTCTTATTGTATCATGTCTTGAAACCGGGGCAAACATCTCAAAGTAATCGACTCCATATTCTTGATAAAACCTCTTGCTATTAGTCTTACCTTGTGTTTGATCGGATTACCACTTGCATCCGTCTTGATCTTGTAGATTCATATCACACTTATAACGTGTTTGTTCTCTGACTTGTCTACTAGTTTCCATGTCTTGTGTTTCTCAATCATGTCGATCTCTTCCTTCATAGCTTTTCTCCACTCTTTGTCAATGCATGCTTCGTTGTAGGTTTGTGGTTCTTCATGAGCTAGAAGACATTCTTCTATAATTTCAGCCGCTTCTTCAGTGTCCACCCTTGGTGCTATATTCATGATCTCTTGCATAGATCTGAATCTTCTTGGAGGTTCGGATGTCTCTCTTTCATCACTTCCATCTTCATTGATATCATGATCTTCTTCTTGAACCAAAACCGGAATGGAGATGTCTCCGGTTTGATCTTGTGATGTTTGTTGATCATTAATGGGTAAAACAAAGATCTTCTTCACTTCTTCTTGCTTTTTCCAATCCCACTTCTTGTTTTCGTCAAACTCAACATCTCTTGATACTTCAACCTTCTCATTCTCCAAGATAAAAACTCTATCGCCTTTTGACTGATTGCTATAGCCAATGAGAATTCCACGCTTTGCCTTAGCGTTTAACTTCCTTCTCTTTTGATCTGCTATATGCACATAGCATATGCTCCCAAATATCTTCAAGTGTGACACATTTGGCTTGTGTCCACACCACTTCTCTATAGGCGTCATATCATCTTCAATAGCCTTTGATGGAAGACGGTTTTGAATGTAAGCCGAGGTACGTACCGCTTCTACCCATAACTTGAGCGGTAAACCTTGCTCAACAATCATTGATCTTGCCATCTCCACCAAAGATCTATTCTTCCTTTCTGCTGCACCATTTTGTTGTGGCGAGTAAGGCAAAGTAACTTGCCTATTGATCCCTTCTTCTTCACAAAACTTGTTGAATTCTTGTGAAGTGAATTCACCACCACCATCCGATCTTAACGTCTTGATAACACAACCGGATTGCTTCTCTATCATGGCCTTGAACTTCTTCAACGTTAAGAATGTTTCTGATTTGTGTTTTAAAAAATATACCCAACACATGTGAGTATAATCATCTAAAAACAACAGAAAGTAACGGCTTACATCGAGTGATTGGTGTTGCATAGGTCCACATACATCCGTATGCACAATCTCAAGCTTCTTTTCTGTCTTTGTTTGAGATTCTTTTAGAAAGCTTTTGCGTGATTGCTTTCCAATATTACACGCCTCACATGCTTCCTTGCTGACTTTGAACTTTGGTAAATCATTTACCAAGTTCTTCTCTTGCATTCGTTGCAATCGTTTGCTGCCTACATGACCAAGCCTTTTGTGCCATGTTCCCATCTTGTCTTGCTCACTCGCATTCATTGCTTCTTCTTAAACCATTCTCAACTTGATTCTGAAACTTTTGTGACTCATTGGAATCTCCATTATCTTCTTGCCTTTTGCATCAAGTATGATGCATCTCTTGTCTTCAAAACTCACTCGATAGCCGCTTGAAATGATTTGAGGAAAACTCAATAGATTTTTCTCCAAGCCAGGCACCAAAAACACGTTTTGAATGATCTTCTTGCCATTGTTTGTCATGATGGTAACATCTCCTTTACTGGCTGTCATGACTATTTCTCCATTGCCGACTTTTATCGGAACTTTGACACTCTTTTCAAGTTTAGAGAAATATCCCTCCTCCTTAGTCATATGGTTAGTGCATCCACTGTCTACTAACCAGACATCTTCTTTTGTTGCTGCTTCGATTTCACTTGCGGTAAACAACATGTGATCTTTATCACTCGAGTCTTCTTCTTCGAGACTCACATGTGCCCTCTCTTTCTTCTTTGAGCGACACTTGTTTGAGTAGTGGCCGATCTTACCACAATTGTAACACTTAATATTGCTCTTGTTATTCTTTCTTTGATCGTTCTCCTTCGGTTTCTTCCAACACTCTTCGTTTGTGTGGTTGTTTCTCTTGCAAAACTCACACCACTTCTTGCCTTGATTCCCACGGCTTTTAGTGTTGTCTTGTTTGGAACCGGTTTTTCTTGCCTTTGTGCGAACATTGAATGCTCCTTCATTTGTGCTTTCGTCTCTTGTAGATAGTCTTGCTTCGTGTGCTTACAGAATACCGATTAGCTCTGTCATCGTTAATGAATCCAAGTCGCGAGTTTGCTCCAAAACACTAACAATGCTATCAAACTTGGCTGGGAGAGAGATGAGTATCTTCTGAATGATTTGAGAATTTGTTTTCTTTTCTCCATGATAAGTTAATTGATTCTCAAAGACAATCAACTTATCGGTGAATGATTTGATGTTTTCTCCATCGTACATCTTCAGATTTTCGTATTCCCTACGCAACGCTTGAAGTTTAATCAAACGAACTTGCATAGATCCTTTATATTCAGTCTTCAAAGCCTCCCATGCCTCTTCAAATGTTGTTGTTGGCGCAATGCATGAGAAGATTTGATCAGTCACGGTGGTTTGCAAAATCTGCAAGGCCATCGTATCATTAGCCATCGCCTCTTCTCTTTGTGCTTTTGCCACCGTTGTCTCGGGAGTTACTTCTCCTTGTCTGATTCGGCTGGCACTCCTTCTTCAACCACAGACCATAGTTTCCTGGTCTTGAGAATTGTTGTCATCTTAATGCTCCAGAAGTCGTACTTCTCCCCATCGAATATGGGGATCACTTGATGTAAAGAGCCTTGCATCGTCTCGGCTTATTTTGCGAAATCGTATGCAAAAAACTTTGCTTTTGTTCTTGCTGTGATTTTTTGTGCTTTCTCTTTTTTCCTCTCAATCGGTAAGCTCTGATACCATGTTAATGTTTTGATTCAAAGATGAACTCTGTTTTAACAGATTTTTGAGAACGAAAACTAGAAACAGAGTATTGAAGAAAATTATACTTTATTGATAAGAGAAAAGTGTATTACACTCGATGTGTTTTGCGGACTCGACTCGATCTACTTATACAACATGAACAGATGTGTTTCAACAGGTGTTATTTAACAGACACAACTTATACGAATAGACGTAACTATACGTTCGTGACTTTTAAGTAAATAACTAACTTATACTAATATGACTTTAGGTTATATGACTTAGATGAGACTTGATTATAGTTCAACACTTATCACCATTCAAATGCCCTTCCAATTGATCTCTCCAAGCTTTCTCTCTCTAAAATGTTTTCTCTGTCCTCTGTAACTTCTTTGTTTACCAACAGTCACAAACTGTTGTAAACAGACACTTTATTCTATCTGCAATGTCTCATATATATACTTAATGAAGAGACATTATCTAAAGAGTCACAACTCTTCATTTAATTATAAAAACCAATTTCTCATAACTGCTTGTTAAATCAAAACCGATTCGGTATGCTGCCAAATCATGGACGCAAACCGATCATAAACTAATAGATATATATCGGATCTTAGCTTCCGACTTCATTCTGATAATAAAGTTTTGGTTTTGTTCCGATTAGTTTGCCCATCTCTTCCGCTGACAGTTTTCTCTTATAGAGGCAGTGCTTTCAGGTCCGTATTATATAATTAGAGGTTTGTTGGTGATCAATTTGCTTGATTTCATGTGATCGGAGAATAAATCTTCATACCCCCTTATGGGGACTATATGATCGGAGAAGGATGAAGTGTCTCTGCAAGCGTGAGAATCATGATTTGTGAATTTCGTTGGCTGGTTCAGAACTGATCAGAAGAGCGTTTTGCGACTGGTCCAACCTTTAACCTTGCCAAGACATTCCATGCTCCATGGATTATGACAAGGAGATCTCTACTTTCAACACACGGTGATTTGCAAAAGGAAGAGATTGTACATTGATATCTGGAGAAAGTTTGTGGGTAGCAGTCGAAGCTTTACGGCGGTGAAAAACAAGTGCTGATGTTCCGGCGATCCTTCGGTGAGGCTCCGGCAATGTTCTAATGATAATTCAGCACTCCAAACTTTACAGCAGGCCATGTGTCTGGCCTGGCCTGCTGGCCTTTTTTCACTTTAGTACACATGTTTTAGCTTGTTAGAATGTTGATCTTATCAACTACTCACGTGTTGGCTTAGTTGTATTTGGGCTTTAGAGTTTGAATTTTACTGTATCAATTGTAACTACCTAATTTAATGAGTTTCTATAATATACTGATTTGCTGAAAAAAAAATGGTTTTTGGGTTTACATATGTACAAAAGCAAGAAACAAATATTCATAAAAAAAAAAAAAAACTAGAAAAAACAAACAAAGCCCAACCACATAACCTCTAATAGACTTGGTTTGGGATAATCAGTACCAAACGGTCAAAACCAGTTAAACTGAAAGACATCTTTAAAAAACTGGGATTTTTTATTTAATATATACAAAATCCAAGTTTACTTTATTTTCTTTTATTCATTTTTCTCATTGCCGTCTTCATTTAGGTTTTTCTCAAGAATTTTATTTGTTTTTTTTTTCCTTTTTTGGAAAAAGATTCTTGAATATAATCTGTTGTTTGGTAAAAAAAATATATGTTACTGATATGATTGGGTTTTGGCTGTCCGATAATATTATTCTTATTCGAAAGACACCCGTACATGACACGAGCTAGCTAGTTCAGAGCTAAGAACCAACATCTCAAGACAGCATGCATAAATGTCCTCCTCAAACTTATCGACACACTTAGCCAGAAACAATTCTGGTATTGTTAGCTCGTTTGAGACTAGGTTTAAAAGTTACTATCTCTACGTAGAAGCTAGAAAGACTTTTGTTGGGATTGAACATGGTTTGTAAAGAACTAATCTTTTGGTTAAGAAGACTCGATAGTATTTTGTAAAGCACGCAGCTGTAATGAAAAGGTAAACAAAAATTTAGATGTCTCATTCAAGACTCTGTAAACATAGACTATCTATGTTTGTCTGTGTGTTCCTTTTTCACTCTGGAATTTCTGTTTTTCTCTGAGAAAACTAACTCATCGATGATGATTTTTGAGTTCTCCAATCTTACTGATCGATGATATAAATTCACATGTATTTTTTAAATTTAAAAATCAAAACAGCATCTGCCAAATTAAATTAAATTAGGACATTTTACCCAAAAAAAAAATTAGGACCAAACCAAGATAATAAATAAAAACTCGAGAAAAATCGATTCCAATGCAAACTCTTGTCTCTCTTGTGAATTGTTGATTTTTGAAAGAAAGAAGTCGCATAAGACAAAGGTTCTTCCTTGCTCCTTCTCGGAAGCAGACGGGTTTCTGAAAAAAGGAAGTTTTTACTTTTTTTGCCGGAAACTTTTAAATTGTCAAATCTCTAATATTCTAAATATCACAAATTATTTAATTCAATATCGATCTTTTTGGCCACTTTTTTTTTCAGTTCTTTCTACGAGTATCTATCGTAGAAAGCACAAAACATAAAGATGGAATAAGGTTACAACTTAGCTTCATTTCCCATAAGTTTTCAGCTCTATAATGTAAAAGCAGATTTTATGACATTATTGATCTAAAGTTTACGCTTTTATTTCTTATTTGCTATGTTCTTTAAATAATCTTTTAGATACAGTGATGTAAACTCTTCGATACAACGATTTAACTAACTTTTACAGGGTTTTAATTTAAAGCAGATTTTATGACATGATTGATCTAAAGTTTAGGCTTTCATTTCTTATTTGCTATGTTCTTTAAGTAATCTTTTAGATATAGTGATGTAAACTCTTCCATAACGATTTAACTACACTTTTACAATTGGGTTTTAGTTAAAGTATATTCAAATCGACAATGTTGACTGCAAGTAATTAAGAGCCAAAATTGTGCATACATTCTCTAGGTAAATAAAGTCAAAGATGATGGAGTCTTGCATTTACTTTTTTTGTCTTTTTCCGGTTTCTAGCTCTTTAGATACAAATGCCTAAAAACGTGATTATTTTGAAAAGGTAAACAAAACATTTTATATTTTTTTTATAATCCATAAAAAGAAAAACGACAAAATAAAAATAAAACTAAATCACCCATGAAAATAGATAATATTATATCAATATAAGAAACTCAATTTCTGATAAAATAAATATATATCCTGAAGGAAAATCTGGTGAAACAAATGCAGTAATTAGCTTTCAATACGATTACTGGATTTTAATTTTTTGGTATGTAGTTGACATATTACCAAAAGAAGTCATAATGAAAGTTTCATTTCCTTATTGTTTGATAGGTTTAAACCGACCCATTACATTAGATAAAAAGAAATATATGGAATGTAGAGTTTCTAAATTACATCAAACATATTTGATTACAGGAACAGACAAAAGTGCCTTGCCAAAACCATCATCAAGATTGCACAAAGTTATGTTGGTAGCAACAATGTGAATCTTCTCTTACCAATTGGACAATATGGTACCCAATTACTTGGAAGTCTATCCTTGCACAAATATTGTTCTCATTTTCATCCTAGTTCGAATACATCATAATAGTGTACATACATATAATGTAGAAAAGATGCAGCAGATTCATAGTACATTTCCACTAGGATTTTTGCAATTAATTTTGTTACACAAAGATGAAGATATTTTAGATTATAAAATTTTACTTTTTAAGATTATAAAATGGGTTATTAATCTTTTATAAATTTAAAGTTTTTTTAATTAATTGACTTTAAATTTTTCTAACTTTTGACTTGATACATGTCACAACCTGATGAGTTAGCAACTTTAAAATATTCTATAGTTATATAATAAGATATATACATGTATATATATTACTAACCAAGATTAAGATTTGATAATTCATATTGATTCGTTAATCTCCACCATATCTCAGTTTACATAATATATTTTTAATAGTATGAGTTAGTATATTGCTAATCCAGAAACTTGGTAATGAGTTTCAGCTCCTTATATTTCATCTCAAATCCTTTGAGGTCGCCTTACAATTCATTTAAAATAAAAGTAAAAATACTCTTTATCATTAAGTATTCATTTCTCTCTTGATACGTATAACATTATATGCATGATACATGGGAACGAGATCATTAATCCAGCAACCCGAAAACTGGTCTAATTTCCAAAAAGCGATATCAAAAGCGTACCGTTTCTTGTATTCACGAAGCACACTTGCCAATGCCATGTATCTGTCAAAGACTAAAAAACACATAAAACATGATCGCTTTGGACTCATTTTGCATTGGAGGCTATTTTAGTAAAAATTGTTCCCTTATTCTCTTATTTACTTTTACGTTTTCATTTGAAGAAAACTAATCAAAGTGTCAAAAGAAAAAAAAAAGTTTATGGATTTATTTACACAAGCAAATGCAACCAAACAAACAGCAAAATACAACCAATGGTTCTTTACTTAGGGAATCACTTCAGTACAAACAAATTCGGTTCAGTAAACCGAATAAACCGATTTTAACCAACAAACGGTTCCATTCGGCGATATCTTTGGTCTTTTGGAAGCATGAACCGAACTGAACTTTATTATAGCCGAACCGAACCGAACTATTGTTTGGTTTATTTCAGCGTTACTTTTTCCGAACGAACGGAACCAAATTACCGTATTAAACCGATTGCCCAGGCCTACTTGATTTCAGGTGGAGCGGTGAAATGCGTAGAGATGGCAAAGGTCAAGGTCACTTTCATGTCCGAGACAAAGCAGACATTGAACCGAAATGAAAAATTAGTGTATGCCACTGGCGTTCTAGGGTTCGGTTGCGAGGAGTCTTCTTCGATGCCGAAGCAAATTGACAAAAAGAAGTTCACTTGGGTGATTAAGAATTTCTCCTCTTTGGAATCTGACGTAATCTACTCTGATGAATTCATCGCTGGTGGCTGCAAATGGTAAGAAGACGACTTGTTTTGCTAATGCTTTCGTCCCTTCAAGCTTTAGCCTTTATGTGAGACATCCATTGTTTTTCTTTCTGTTTCTTTCAGGCGTCTTGTGGCCTTTCCCAAAGGATATAATAACACCAGTGATTTGTCTCTGTATCTGGTGGTTGCTAATGCTGAATCTTTGCCTTGTGGATGGAGAATACACGCAGTAATTTCCTTAAGTGTAGTTAATCAATGTTCAGAGAAAGTCTCACAAGTGAGAGGTAATTCTTCTTTACGCCCCCTTATGAGTTATTATTTAAATGTTCATGTAAACGATTGTGAAAGAAACTCTCTGTCTTGTGGGTTTTTCAGTTAAAAAAAAATGGTTTGATGAGAAGGATCCAGAGTGGGGTTTTAAGTACATGATTCGCCTTGAAAAACTTATGGCCAAAAATGGTGGCTTTATGGTTGACAACGAAGTCAAGATTGTTGCAGAAGTACATGTTCTTGAAGTTATTGGCGATTTAGATGTGTCAGACAAATCTGAGGAGGTAACCCAACCTCTGAAGAAGATAAAGATAGATGTTGCTGGGACTAGTGATTTGCTTAAGGAAAGTCCATCAGATTGTGTGGTGAATGTCAATGGGTTTAAAGTTCTTTCTTCCCAGGTAAGAAGTTAATAAAGATGGCAACTTTTTTATAAATTTCAACCTCTAGGTAAGTTACCAGTTGTTTCTTTTTTCTTGGGTTGATTTTGGGACAAGATGTGGCTAGGCAGTTCTATACCATTCAGATTCTTGATATGTATACTTCATTCATTCTTTTCAACTGCAGGCAGAATTGGTGAAACTTATATTTCAAAGGCACCCAGACATAGCAATAGAGCTCCAAGTTAAGAACCAACATCTGAGGACAGCGTGCATGTATGTCCTACTCAAACTTATCGACACACTGTGCCAGAAAGAGCTCTCCTATGATGATTTGGTAGGAGTAGATAGTGCACTAACATACGTGAAAGATTCTGGCTTTAAGGTGGATTGGTTGGAGAAGAAATTGGAGGAAGTGAAGGAAAAGAAGATGGAAGAGCAGATTGGTGAGACTCTGAGGCAGGAATTAGAGAAAAAGATGAAGGACTGTAAGCAGAAGTGCTCAGAAAAAGAAGCTTTGCTGGAGAAAGAGAATAAAGAACTGAAGGACTTGAAGCAGAAGTGCTTGGACATAGAAGCTTTGCTAGAGAAAGAAAAGGCAAAGGTGTTGGCCACTGTTGCTGCTCCTCTAACGTTGGATGATGTTGTCTGATGTATTAGGTTTGGAATGTTGTCTAGGTGTGTTCTGACTTCTGTTACTGTATGTTCGTTTGAGTGTAGGTTTCAAAGTTTGTGTCTCAGTCTCTAAGTAGAAGCTAGAGTAACTTCTTTTGGGATTGGAAGTTTCCTACATTTTGTAAAGAACTAATATTTTGGTTAAGAGGACTCGGGTAGAATTTTGTAAAGCTTGCAGCTGTCATGGAAAAGTAAAAATCTTTTAGATGTCTCATTCAAGACTTTGTAAAAAGACGGCTTTCTTTTCATATGAGAAGTGAATATCGTTCGAAAGTTATGTATTGAAACTAGTATATTGCATACATGAACTTTGAACATTGCTTAGAACAAAAAAAAAAATCGGTGCTGCTTTTACCCTTTTTTTTTGTAAAGTTATTGTTTTTGGATCTGAAGAGAACGAAAGAGTCAAAATAATTTTTTTGGGCCTAAGTGCAATTAAAGGCTCGGAAGACCTCAGAGACGTTATCCAAGTTTTTCCTCTTCTCTCCGCAGAGAGAGAGAGAGAGAGAGAGAGAGAGAGAGAGAGAGAGAAAGAAAGAGAAAGAAAGAGAGAGAGTCAGAGAGAGAGAGAGAAGAGACCATGCATGTGTCCGTACATCCCGTCTTCGCCACAAACTTAGCGACTAAGGTCTCTTCGAATAGGTTTTACCGTAATGTTTCGCGCCGTCGAAACGGCTCCAGCTCCGTCAAATGCTCGGTGGAGACGACGGAGGCTGACCGGTCGGTGAAGCTGAAGAACGGGAACGACTCACTGGAGATTTGCAGAGTCCTTAACGGGATGTGGCAGACAAGCGGAGGATGGGGCAAGATCGATCGAAACGACGCCGTTGAGGCAATGCTCCAATATGCCGATTCTGGTCTCTCTACTTTCGACATGGCTGATCACTGTAAGTATAGCTAGTGTCTCATTTCTTTACACAAATTGGGATTTATGACATTAACAAGTAAGAGCTTTAGAATTTTGATGACCTGAGTAGAATCGGCCTTAGTTGTTAGCAGAAATTAGCTTAGAAATTAACAAAATGATGAAGAAATTAGAGAGTTTTGATGCAGAGTTTTGATGCTATGGTTGTGCTACCAGAAGACTTGAATTGAAAGTTTTAGTGTGGAGATTAATGATGTAATTGTGATTAGTGTGTTCCTTTGATGTGTTTTAGATGGTCCTGCGGAGGATCTTTACGGCATTTTTATCAATAGGGTTCGTCGAGAGAGACCACCAGAGTACTTGGAAAAGATTAAAGGGTAAGAAAGTTTTAACTTTGAAGTCGATTGTTTTGTCAGTAATGTGGAGATCAGAACCAATGGTACAGAGTTTGTGTAATGGCTAAATGATTAGGCTATGTTTTGTGGTGTTAGTTTGACAAAATGGGTACCTCCTCCGGTGAAAATGACAAGCAGCTATGTTCGTCAGAACATCGACATATCGCGGAAGAGAATGGATGTGGCTTCTCTTGATATGCTTCAGTTTCACTGGTGTTTGCTCCTCTCTTCTGCTTAAATGCTTAGCAGTTTCTTTAGCTTCACTGAAGTGCATTTGCCCTATTTATTTGCTAATTTTTAGTTTGGAATAGGTGGGATTATGCGAATGACGGTTATCTCGATGCTCTGAAACATCTCACTGACCTTAAAGAAGAAGGTAAGCAATGATGGGATATGTTTTTGATTATCATTTATATCTATCTATCGGCTTTTTCTTAAGCTGAGGCATTGAAATGCTTGCAGGTAAAATCAAGACTGTTGCTTTGACAAATTTTGATACAGAGAGACTTCAGAAAATCTTAGAAAATGGAATCCCTGTTGTTAGCAACCAGGTATTTGTTCGAACAACTATAGATTCTGTTGTTCCTTGCAAGTTCCTTTATTGTGTTCATGTAGACATGGATGTAAAATCTTTCCAGGTGCAACACTCCATTGTAGACATGCGTCCTCAACAGAGAATGGCTCAGCTTTGCGAGCTCACTGGGGTCAAACTTATAACGTGAATTCTCTTATTACTCTCTCTACATATCTCGTTTGATTTCATCTTCTTTAACAACGGACTTAACCACACAAACTGCAGATATGGGACAGTAATGGGTGGTCTCCTGTCAGAGAAGTTCCTTGATACCAATCTAACAATCCCTTTTGCTGGCCCGCGCTTGAATACGCCTTCTCTCCAAAAATACAAAAGGGTAAGACTTCAAATCATTCACATATTAACCTTGTCATGAGTTTAAGGATTCATCATCACCGTATCATCTTACTTTTTTACTGTTTCTAAGATTTTTGAAAACTTACATTACAGATGGTTGATGCATGGGGAGGGTGGAATCTATTCCAAGGTTTGCTTCGAACGATGAAGAGCATAGCCACAAAACATGGAGTCTCTATTCCGACAGTTGCTGTGAGATACGTATTAAATCAGGTATGTATCTTTCCTTACATGGATTACTCTGACTCTTAAAGGCCAATCTGGTTTTTTATTTGTTCTAAAAATTTGGGAATCTCATCGCAGCAAGGAGTTGCTGGATCAATGATTGGTGTGAGGCTCGGGTTAGCCGAACATATACAAGACGCAAACGCGATATTCTCATTGGTATTGGATGATGAAGATGTTAATAGCATACAAGACGTTACCAAGAAAGGTAAAAATCTTCTCCAAGTGATTGGTGACTGTGGAGACGAATACCGACGTATATGATGTTGTAGAATATTGTATACATGTTTTCAATACACAAAATCTATGGTAGAATTCGTATATAACTTTTGATAATGTCTTCCTTTTCGTCTGTGCAAATACTGATAATGTATTCAATACACAAGATCAATGTAAATCGCAATCATCTAGATATATAGTGTTTTGTTAGATTTTGGTGTTTTGGGTAATGAACCAATCATGTTAGTATAACAGTGCTTTCTATTTAGAATTCGTTGCAGAGAAAGTCTAGGCTTCTTAGACTTGTAAGCCATGTCTTTGTTAGGAATGTTGTTCAATCTTAGATGCTTTAGCGACTGAAAAACAAATAAATCAATATTAATTTAAATTTTGCAAGTGGAAATGGGAAACCATACGTTTTTTTTTTCCTGGCGCAGCTTTAAAAGTCTTACAAGCATATTTCGACTCTTCAACTACTATCAACTTGAAATCAACATCTTAAATTACTTAGAACAACTTGTATACTAAGACAAAGTGCAAAAGACGAAATCAAATACAATGCTATATTTTTACAATTATTTTTCTTGAATCGTCATATTATATCCTGATTCTGAGCTTCTTTTTTTTGAAAATCATAGTCAAAAATTATTTTCTTTTCTTTCTTTTGTTATAGTCTGTGTCGAATTTCTTTCTTTTGTTATAGTTTTTGTGTACAGCATTATTTTTTTTATAGCTCAGTCACTAATGCATCTAAGGTTCTAGGATTTTGTTAGAAGCATATGATTTGAATGTCTACTAATATTCTAAACACTATGGTCTGACTGGTGAAATGTTAGAGTAATATAGAGTAATTTAGAGAAAAGAAAAATAAAAAGTTAGAGGAATAAAGAGGAAAATAAAAGATACAAATAATAGATTTCTATTTTTATGTGTTATTCTGGGATCCTCTTACAAAAAGTGGTGGAAAATATTGCTACAAAGTACAAACTAAGGAAAGACAAAAAAAAAAAAAACTATTATTTCTAGTAAGAAAGAGCGTAATTTTTGTTTTTCTCATATTTCACCTTACTGGTAAAAGTTAAGAGGGAAATAGCGTAACTACAATTTGTTATCCCACACTTTTACTTTACAATAACTATCAGGTTAGATGTGTTCTAAATCATGTTAAATGATTTCTATAATTCCAAGTCAGACGACTCAGATTACTATATTTCTCAATCATATTAAATGAGTTCTTAAGAAAAAGCTTTATAGTAGTATCAAATTGTGTCGGCTTCCATGACATGCTAAATAGCCTAGAATAAATGTTGACAGAAAAAAAAAATGTAGCTTAAAATAGATTGCTTCCTTATCCAGCTGCAAAACAACATAGTATGTCGACTGTCGAATTCAAAAAAAAGTATGTCTTTTTTTTGTCTGAAAGTACTTACAGTAAAATTAATATTCGATAAATTAATAATCATTGTAAATTAATAATTTTTTTGGTCTCAAGTTGGGCCAGTATAAAAATCTATCAAATTCGATAAGATAATAAGATAATAATTTTTTTGAAACTCCTATATAAATATATGGTCTCAACATAAACATAAATTAATAATTATAAAAATTTATGTATATAGGTAAGATAAAATATATTAAAATATGATTAATGTATTTTTGTTTTTATTTAAGTTTATCTATTTAATTATTTACATCAATAACTTTTAATGCTGTTTTTTTAACTCTATTCAAAATTTATGAAAAAAATTAGATGTTATAATTAATGTTTTTACGCGTAACTGTTTTCTAAATATATTATGGTATTGTCTTCAATTTTAGCACTAACATTAAGCATAGTAGCCATATTTTTTTCTGAATTTTTTACTAATGAACATTTATACTTTTATATAGATAATTCAGTTCACAATTAACAAATAAAAATAACTATTCTATTTGCGATTGCTATGATTTTAAACATAATTTTAAGTTTGTGCATACCATTTTATAAGCATATAAGTTTAGGTTCTTAAATATAACATCATTTCAAAAAAAATTAAGAAGAAGATGGACGGAAAATAATTTTTCTCTATAAATTAATAAAATATCATGGTCCCAACATTATTAATTTATAGAGGTTTTACTGTATATAAATAATAGCTCATATCAGTTTAAGAGAAAACATAGTGTTCTCTCATAAACAGAGAGTCGAAACATGGCTCAAGGCCGAAAAGTATACAACGAAAATTTAATAAAACTAGAAAGTTGAGCTCACTATTGAGACCTGCTTTCGATGACGTGATCGCCTCCTACACTCCTGGTAGTAGACTGTTCCGTCCTAAACAAATCTCTGAGCCAACAGGGTTCTCCTTGAGCAACGTATGAGACGAACCGATTTTCAGCTGTGACGCTTCGGGCAATTTCGGCTGCTCCTCTGTTCGCCTTTGGAGGTTCGAAAATAATATCCCATCCCACCTGATTCTTGGTAAACTCCAATAGAGCTGCCAAATATCCTGTAAGAGCAGGCCATTCTCGAGGTTTGTATAAAGCTTTGATGATGTCCAGCGATGAGGCCGCAAATGTGACATTTGAATCCGCAAGCTTCTCATACTCTCCAACGCCCACTCCCATCCTTTGAACTTTGCGTCTAAACATGTTCGCTCCTGAGAAAAAGAACGACAGCTATGGCTTAGTACCGTACCATCACTATTTCGTAGAACCCATGATGCTCCCGATATAGATGTCCCGATATCCGATATTGCATTTCACCCTGCCCATCTCCGGTGGTATCCATTTCTCCCTTGCACTCGCATTATAATTCTGCTCAGAGATACTCTGTCGCTGTTGAACTAAAATCCATTGTCGTGTATCATCATAAGCTTTCTTTATAGCTTCGGTGGCTTGATACACCACTCCATCAAAAAGCGTTTGTTATGATTCTTCCATAGAGTCCACTCTATCCAGGGAGGCACTACTCTTATTCCTTCTGGAACGTTACGGTTGTTCTGCAACTTCAGAATATGATGTATATTTTCATAGATTGAATTGCAGAAACCATTAGCCGGAGTCGGAAAAATTGAAAGCGTCCATATCTGTCTTGCTGCAGGGCATTTAAACAGAATATGGTTCACTGATTCCACCTCTGCCGGACACGACTAGCAACCATCTCTATAGTTCATACCTCTTGTTTGTAATCTGTCAGTGACCGCAATGGCACCCTTCAGTGCTTTCCAAAGAAACAGCTTAATTTTTGGCACAGTTTTTGCCTGCCAACACTGGTGATAGATGGGATTGACAGATGGTGACGCTTCTGCTTGAGAAAACAGCTCTTTTTTCTTTTTTTGGTGGATGAGCTCATATCCGGAGCGTACAGAGTATACCCCATTCTTTGAATCAGTCCACACAAAGAAATCATCCCGATCCGGTATAGGCATGTGTTTGTGAATCAGAGTCTTGTCAGCATCAGTAAACAGAGCATCCAGCTGATCAGCATTCCATTGAGAAGTCCCCTGAACTATTAGATCCGCAACTTTGAGTCCAATGTTCATCAGGGACTGGGTTCCTCCCTGTCTGCATGGCTTACCATCATATAACCAATTATCAGTCCACACATAAGTGCCTTGTCCATTTCCGATTACCCATTTTAATCCCTGGGCCAGTAAATCTCTTCCAAACAGGATAATTCTCCAGGCGTATGATGGTCTACTTCCATTCGGCGTATCTAGCAATCGCTATTTGCATAATATCTACTTTTAAAGAATCGTGCAAACAGACTGTATGGATTACTGAGAAGCCGCTACGCTTGCTTAGCCAACAAGACTTGGTTGAAGTTGAGGATATCCCGGAAACCCATCCCTCCAAGTTTCTTAAGAAGCGTAAGTTTATCCCAACTCACCCAATGGATTTTGCGCTGATTCATCTCTGTTCCCCACCAATATTATGCAATTGCACTTGTAAGTTGAAAACCCTCTAATATATTATATATCTAGATTTATTTTGATATTATTTGTTAGCTATATTTTTATGTCCAAATGAAGAAAAAAAATAGATGTTAAAAGTTAGAATATATAGCTTAAAATTAATAGTTTAAAGAGTATGTCGAGTCACAAAAAAATATGTCTAAACCATGTATTATATCTAGATTTATTTCGCTAGAAAAGAAAAAAAAAGTGGGAAATTGTGATAAGGATAAGGTTTCTTTTCTTTCATGAAGATTCTTTGGCGATTTTTTGGCGAAACCCTAATTTTCGATCTCAATCAAATTTCTCTTCTAGTTTATCTGGATTTAATCTTTGTTTCTACCCCAAATCCCTTCTCTAATCTTAATCCTCATATATGGAATCGCAAAAGGAGATATGGGAACTCTTTCAAGAGCTCCATATTGGAGCAAATCAGTTAAAGTGGGTCGTTCATGAAGATGCTCAAAGGAAATTCGAAAATGATCATCGTCTTTATCTTGTTGCAAGGGATCTTAACCCGAATCACCAGAACCCGGTGGAAATTAAAGCGTTGATGCCCAAAGTTTTGTCGTTAATCGAACAGGTTAAAGGTCAGGTTAACGAAGATGATACTATCAACTTCTACTTTACAAAAGAGCATCATCTGCTTACAGTTCTCGACAACGGCCCTTATTCCTATCAAGGATGGATAATTGCTCTTGATCGATGCAATCACCGTCACTACCCTAATTTTCTTCAAGAGATTCCGTTCTGGGTCAAGATCAAGAACATACCATCTGTTTTCAGGCGAACTGGGATTGCCAATAACATCGCCTCTAACCTTGGTCAAGTTCGAGATGTCATAGTCATTGAACAGACTGTTAATCAACCAGGTGAGGTTTGGGCAAAGGCTGATTTTGATGTTGATTCCGAGATTACTCGAGCAAGACAAATACAAATCACTAGCCACTCTCAGTCTGTTGAGCTTGAGTTTTGATACTCTGGATTACAGAAGTTATGTACTACTTGTGGCAAATTAACTCATCACTATGATGTATGCCCTCGTGCTGCTACTCTTCCTACTGTTGTTGGCCATTGGACTCAAGTAGGTCATGATGTTTCTGCCACTCCGGAGCAGAGAAGAGAAGAAATAACATGACTAAATCAATACAGAGAGAAAGAGGAAAGTTTGCAATAGGAGAGTGTCAACAGAGACAGAGCTATCACTTCCAGTCACGCCAACGTTCGCTTATCCAACAGCAGTGATCGGAGATAATCTGAATCTTCTTCAAGGAAATGAAGTTACAAATGGAGCTGATCAGGAGATGGAACACCAAGACCCAAATCTTAAAAGGAAAGCTCCTGAAACAGATCCTACGAATCAACCTTCTACTTCTAAGAAAACAACTACTCAGGTTGTGACAGCGAAAGGTTCGGTGGTTATCCTGAAACCACCTCGTCAGCCATGAAGCTTTTGCATCTGAATTGTCAGGGTATGTGGAACAACCTGACAGTTCAGTATCTGAAAAATATCATGCATGCTCATCATCCTGATATTATATTCCTCGTAGAAACTAGAAACAATACAGATGTTGTTGATAGCTTATATAAGAACTTAGCTTATGCCCATTCTTTTGTTGTACCATCAGTTGGATTTAGCGGTGGGTAAGCCATTTTTTGTGATGTACATGTAGAGCTAACCTTAGGATCTTTTCCTTCTCTTTACAGTATGGATCTGTACATTTCTGATGTTCATAATATATTTTTTTGACGTACTTATACGGCCACCCAAACTTAAAAGATAGAAAGCATCTTGGGAGCGTATGATCTCTGAAGTTAATGCAGGTATGTATAGCAACAAACCGAGACTTGTCATGGGAGAACAACATCAAGTATCCTTATGAAAAAGAAGGGGGCGCAACCAGGTCTGAATTCTCCTTTTATGCTTTTAGGAGAATGTTATATAATTTTGGTCTCTATGATGTTAAGACTTTTGGTGGAAAATATACTTGGGTGGGACAGAGACATAACCATACAGTTCGATCTTGCATTGATCGAATAGTAGCAACTACTGATTGGCTTGATATGTATCATACTGATATTGTTTAAGTCTTATCATGGGAATGTTATGATCATTGGGCTTTTCTTCTTATTACAGAGACATCTAAATGGAAAGGTTATAAGCATTTTCGATATGATAGTAGGTGGAGACTAAACCTGCAAGTGAAGAAAGATATCCAAAAAGTATAGGTCCAGGATTTTCAAACAATTCCAAGCAACAAATTCAGTAAAGCTCTAGATATTTGCATGCGTAAGCTCTCCAGCTGGAAATCTCATAATCCTACCAATTCGCAGAAGCTTATTCATGATCTTCGAGTCTTTTTACAATAAGCCTATGAGGTTAGCCCGATCAATTATAATACTATTGGACAAATTAAGTCTCAGTTGTCTCAGGCTTATAGGCTGGAAGAGGAATACTGGCGCATCAAGAGTAGAACTATGTGGCTGCAGGCAGGGGATAAAAATACCAAGTTTTATCATGCAAAGACTAAACACAGAAGATCTCTAAACAGAATCACTTTTCTTGATGATGAAGCAGGGCATATTTTCTTTAAACACTGAGATTGAAAGAGTCGTCACTAATTATTTTACTAACCTTTTTTATTGTCAGAGTAACCATTCCTAGATTGACTTCCTTCAGTATTTGCAACCAAAAGTCACCGATGAAATCAATGCTATGCTTACTTGTAATGTCACTGAACATGAAGTATACCAAGCTCTCCTTCAAATGAATGTTGACAAGGCACCAGGCCCTGATGGACTCACAGCAGGTTTTTATAAAGACAACTGGCAAACGCTTAAAGGTGCTCTGGTTAGTTTTATTCGTCATTTCCTTGAAACCTCTGAACTTGACTCCCCTTTGAAACTCATATTTTCCTCGTTCCCAAGATAGAATCGCCAACAGAGGTAAGGATTTTAGACCCATAAGTTTGAGTAATGTTGCTTACAAAATCCTCTCTAAAGTGCTTTCTGAGCGTTTAAAGTCAGTATTGCATCATGTCATATCGGAGAATCAAACAGCATTCATTCTTGGACGTCTAATCACTGGCAGTGTTTTGATTTCACATGAATTATTGCATTCTATGAATACCAGGAAGCGAGTTAATCTTTTATGGCTTTAAATCTTGACATAACAAAAGCGTTTGATAAGCTTGAATGGTCATTCATAAATCAGATTATAAAAAGTTGAGATTCTCGGAGACATGGTGTAAATGGATTATGACTTGCATCACGACAGTCTCCTACTCAGTACTCATTAATGAGAGCCAGTTTTTCTACCCTCAGCGTGGTATTAGGTAAGGTGACCTAATCTCTCCCTATATTTACCTACTTTGTACATAAGGTTTATCTTGCATAATTGATCGGCTAGTAGTTTAGGTCTTATTACAGGCTTTCAAGCAAGCAGAGGTGGATCGGCTATTACTCACATGCTTTTTGCAGATGATTCTCTCTTGTTTTTTAAAGTAACAGCAACGGAGTGTGATGCCATTATGAATATTCTTAAGCTTTACGAGGAAGCTTCAGTCCAAGCTGTAAACTTCCAAAAGTCTGCGATCATGTTCTCTAAAGGTATATTGCCAGCCCTTTAAGATTATATTCTTCAAACTATATGTATTTCCAAGGTTGGTTGGAAAATATCTGGATCTTCCGGAATGCATTGGTCGCAACAGAGTTAATACCTTTTCATACCTTGTCCAACGTGTCACAAAGAAGGTTGAGAATTGGTATTCGAAAGTGATGTCCCCTGCTGGTAAAGAAATTCTCATAAAGTCAGTTGTAACTTCCTTACCTACTTATTGTATGACATGTTTTATGCTTCCTATGAAAATTATTAAGCAGATGGAGGCAGTTACTCGAAGATTCTGGTGGTCCACCCAACAAGATGAAGGTATTATAAATTGGATCTCATGGGAAAAATGACTGACCCTAAAGATTATGGTGGGCTTATAATTAGAGATTTCCGAGATTTTAACATAGCTTTACTGGCCAAGCAAGGATGGCGATTATTGCAAGATCATCAGTCTCTGTTATCACGTGTTTATAAGGCCAAATATTATGCTAAAAATTCATTGTTAGAGGCTAAGCAGAAGTGGTCATCGAGTTATGTATGGCATAGCATGTTGAAAGGTACTAAGCTTTTGAGGAAAAGAGTTAGATGGGTGGTTGGAAATGGCAATGAGATTAGTGTGTGGAAAGACCTATGGTTGCCTACAATTCCATCTACCTCACCTAAAGGCCCATGTGCAAATCTCCTCCCTCATTTAAAAGCTAGTGATTTAGTACTCGATGGCACATAAAACTGGAATTGTAATGAGTTGCAGAAATTATGCGATCCATTTGATGTTCCTCTTATAAAGACAATCCGACCATCTATTACTGGAGCTGCTGATGGAATCTCCTGGCTATATACTCGACATGGAAATTACACAGTCCGATCTAACTATAATCTGTTGCGAAGTATGTAGGGCTAGACTTCCTCAACTCATATTCAATCTTATAAAACCATATGGAAACAGCAGATACCACCTAAAATTAAACATTTTTGGTGGCGAGCTTTCCATAAGGCTTTACCGGTGGCAAGACAATTGCAACAAAAGAAAATCCTAATTGATAGTACTTGCCAGGTATATGGAGAGGATGAGGAAACTGTGGAACACATGCTCTTTAATTGTCGCGTGAGTAAGGAGATTTGGAACCTCACGCCTATAGAAAAGTCCAGTGATTTTTCCTTGATGCATATATCACATAGATGACATTTATGCTTCTTTTATGGATGCAAATAAGCATGACCAGAGCAAACTCATGCTGTTCCATATCATGAGTTGGAGGATATGGAAACAACGAAATGATGTCATATTCAATGGTTTTCGATGGCCTATACCTCAGATAATAAGCAAAGCATTCATGGATCTTAAATTATGGATTCAAGCGATGGAGTTTAATGATCAAAGCCTTTCTTTAGCAAATCTGAAAATTGTTTAGCGGATGAATTAGAAAAAGGCTATAACTCTATCACAAAACTCGGTTATCCAATGGATATTGTAACAACATCAATGAAATGAAAGATCACTTTGACAGCAACAAAAAAAATATAGATTTTTTTGTTATATTCATGGATCTTGTGTACTTTTATAAGCGATTGTAAATTATTAATAGATCTAAAACGAAATCTAACAATGATATGTACTTAGACGATGTAATCTATTTTTTTCGATCGATCTGAAATATCTTTTTTTGTCAAAATTTTTGAAATATCTGGATAAACAAAAATTTATGTTTGATAAAAGATGGATGGGAAAGTCGGGTTTCAAAGAGGCGGTAATCTCCGGATGAAACTCTTTTGATGGAATCTTACGTCGACATTTCCACCACAAAATTGCAAACTGCCGTAGGAGTATATCCATTTGGAAGAAATCTCTTCCAACTAATTCGGAGAAGATGATCGAAGAATTAAAGTATCAACTAGATGCAGCTCAAGATGATGAGAACACAACAACAGAAAATTAGAAGAGATCAGGAGGAAACTCTGTTCAGCGTTTCAAGAGGAAGAAATCTATTGGCAACAGAAGAGTCTTGAGCATGGCACAAAGATAGTGACAAGAAGACAAACAAATTTCATGCTCTTACTAAACAAAGAAGAAGTCGGAACCGTATCATTTCTTTAAAGGATAGTAATAAAAACTGGGTGGAGAATGCGAAAGGCATTGAACGTGTGGCTACCCAATATTTTCAAGACCTGTTCACCTTGTCACAGCCTACAGACCCGGGAGATGCACTCCGGTTTATTACCAAGAAAGTTACAGATTCCTCTAATCAGCTCCTACTAATAGAACCATCGGAAGCAGAGATTAGAGAAGTCTTCTTTGATATTAACCTGGATAAAACCCCGGGACCAGATAAACTGACGAGTAAATTTTACCAAAAACTCTGGCAAGA